AGATAGCCCTCGTGTAGCTTTGCGCAAAATTCAAAACAAACAAACAGTGGATTCTTAACTATTAATATCTGATTATTGTTAATAAATAGTAATCTTAATATTTCATTAAATAAATATGAACTCCAACATTTGAAGATGCGTAATAATGTATTGTATAAAGTTAAAAGCAAAAATATACAATTAAAACTCTGCATGTTTTGATGGAAAAAATTCTACCAGCATCATGAGACCAGAAGAAACACAGGAAATTTTATTTTTATACAAGTTAGTGTACGTGTACAATTTGCATCTGTACAGTGCCCTGTATAGAATGAATTTCCAAAAATTTAAATTTGAAGAAGACAGACAGTAGCATTGTTGTGAATAACGATTCTTTGTTGTTTCGATGTTGTTATCAGTGACATTTGTTTTCTTTCTTATTTACACAACTTACACTTCAACAATGTCCAGCCACACTTTGGACACACATCCATCCCTCTTCCGTAATCAGTACATAGTTTCTGAATAAAATTATGCAACATTTGGGTTATTGAGTTTCAGTATTTTAGTCGGTACTTCCAAACACCAGAATGGGCTAGATGTGTTTCAAACGGCGGATCCTACGGCTATTGTTTGCGTCCTCTTACCGAATCAAAAATGATGAAAAAGAATACGATCCGCATTTTCTCGCCTTAAGTACGTTACAAGAGTAACTTCCAAACCACACTGTCCGATTAGAGTAGCTCAAGAATTACCGGTAGATGCTTTGACTAGCTGCCTTCCGCTAATCTGCCAGTTTAAGATTAGGGACAGCTAGTGTAATAACCCTGGAAGAAACAAACGACACACAATAATACCATAGACTCATACCTAATACCTATAGTCCACAAATCTCTATTTCTTTGATTTTTAACAGCTCCCTGTTTTACACTAATCTGAATACTATATCGGACCAAGTGATTTCTCCAAATACTCCTATTTGTTTTTTCTGAGTGTTTATTTATAGTAGTTAAGCCCTTTCCTTGCTTTGAATATATTTTTACTATCCTATTCAAACTGTTCCAGAAAAGCTCTTTTTTCTTCATCTACAATTTTACAACCGTATGCTATTCTTACAAACATACACTTCCTACCATTGTCCTGCTAAAGTGTTATATCTAACAAATTCAAACTAATTTTATCATATTTCTGCTTCTGGTTCAAAGAATGAACACTTACACTTTAATTCCATTACTTTTAGTTACTCTATTACGTAATGTGTTCACCAGTATCACTGAGTAAGCTTTATTTGTTCTAATGAATGTTTTATACCACTAAGTAAGCTTTATTTGTTAGTGGTATAAAACACTCATCATAACAAGTAAAGCTTACTTAATGGTATAAAACACTCATTAGAACAAATAAAGCTTACTTGGTGGTATAAAACACTCATTATAACAAATAAAGCTTACTTAGTGGTATAAAACACCCATTATAACAAATCAAACTTACTTTGTTTTATACCACTAAGTAAACTTTACTTGTTATAATGAATGTTTTGTACCACTAAGTAAGCTTTACTTGTTATGATGAGTGTTTTATACTACTAAGTAGGCTTTACTTGTTATGATGAGTGTTTTATACCACTAAGTAAGTTTTATTTGTTATAATGAGTGTTTTATACCACCAAGTAAGCTTTATTTGTTCTAATGAGTGTTTATACCATTAAGTAAGCTTTACTTGTTATAATGAATGTTTTGTACCACTAAGTAAACTTTATTTGTTATAATGAGTGTTTTATACCACTAAGTAAACTTTATTTGTTATAATGAGTGTTTTATACCACTAAGTAAGCTTTACTTGTTATGGTGAGTGTTTTATACCATTAAGTAAGTTTTATTTGTTATAATGAGTGTTTTATACCATTAAGTAAACTTTATTTGTTCTAATGAGTGTTTTATACCATTAAGTAAGCTTTATTTGTTCTAATGAGTGTTTTATACCATTAAGTAAGCTTTACTTGTTATAATGAATGTTTTATACTACTAAGTATGCTTTATTTGTTCTAATGCAAACTGCACAATGTGTTGTCTTCGTTGTGTCCTCAAAGAAAATCGGACCTCCACATTTTCGTGTTATAAGTTATTTAGCTTACCAGTGAACCATTGAGGGATACCAAGTAAGAATAACTGATAGCAATATTTATTAAAATCAGTTTTGTAAGCTCAGAGTATTACATACTATACATAAGTCTGTGTGACCTGTTCCAATGAACTGTCCCTACAGGTGGGAGCCATTTCAACGCTGCAATACTACTACAGGTAGAATCATGGCTGGAATTAAAGAAAGGTGTTTTTGAAAGACGCACAGCAAGATTGTTAAACAATATACTGTAAAATGACACAAGATTTCGAGAAAGAAAGTTTCCATTGTTCTCCATGGGTAGGAGTAGGACGGGTGGGAGACTTACACAACAGGATTGTAAGATGCTCTTAAGCCATACCAACACCCTGATATGCGAAGTGGGGGCGGCTATGGCTGTAAGAAAGAACACTTAGATCCGAAAAGACATAGTAACAAGATAGGATGCAATAAGCAGGGATTTGATGATGACGAAGGCTTACGATAGTCCAAAAGTTAACAAGCTTACAGCTACACCTTGAAATGAGCAGCTGTTTTTATGAGTTTGTTTGTTTTGCATTTCGCGCAAAGCTACACGAGGGCTATCTGCGCTAGCCGTCCTTAATTTAGCAGTGTAAGACTAGAGGGAAGACAGCTAGTCAGCATCACCTACCGCCAACTCTTGAGCTACTTTTTGCCAACGAATAGTGGGATTGACCGTCACATTATAACGCCCACACGGCTGAAAGGGCGAGCATGTTTGGTGGGACGGGGATATTTTTTATGAGAGAGTCAGCTGAACAAACTGGAATCACAGCAATTCCAATCGATCACGAACTTTGGATGCATGCATTTTCAATGGACTTTTGTGTCTGATTTGTTTAAACGTGGTCATGAAAACCGTGAAATGGAGAGTGTGTGAAAAGTTCGATCTAAGAATGACTTCGTCGATTTTCACATAGATTGTTTCAGTAGAAACTTCTATTTCAGGTAGTAGTGCGTAATGATGACTGTTTAGCAGCACAACAGACGAAGAGGTAAATAAATCCAAGATGTAACGTGGTACTGTTAAATGCGATTAAATGTTCGAGACTGATTCCAATTTTTATATATTTTCTATATGGTGCTTGCAAGATCCATTACATTAGTATATAAACTATAGCCCTATACAAAACATAGTCTAAATTTTCTTTTTAAACTGCCTCCTTGTGATCATATTTTGGGTTCATGTTCAAGTAAAGGCAGCTGTCAGAGTTTTGGGTGTTATATATATATTTCTAAATAAATGTATGATATGCATTATAAAGATCGTTGCAACCTGTACTAACTTAGATGTGTGTGTGTGTGGATAATGTATGGACTATTAACTCAGTCTTATCAAAGTACTCACACTGTCGAAGAATACACTGAACAAACTTAGATGTGTGTATGTGGATAATGTATGAATTATTAACTCAGTCTTATCAAAGTACTCACACTGTCGAAGAATACACTGAACAAACTTAGATATGTGTGTGTGGATAAGTGTATGGACTATTAACTCGGTCTTATCAAAGTACTCACACTGTCGAAGAATACACTGAACAAACTTAGATGTGTGTGTATGTGGATAAGTGTATATAAGTGTATGGACTATTAACTCGGTCTTATCAAAGTACTCACACTGTCGAAGAATACACTGAACAAACATCAGACGCAGTTGTCATTCGCCTTTTTGAAAAACAATTCCAGTTAAAGTGGCGAAAACGTATTATTGATAGGTGAGCGTTTTCGCCACGTTCTGAAAACACGTTTAGTTCACTTTAACGTTTTTTTATTATTATTTAAATAGTGTACTATATTGAATATTCTCATGTTCAGTAAATAGCGACTGAAGAAGTAGTGAAAATATTTCACGTATCGATTTTCTACAACATACAATCCGTCGTCTCTCAAATGAAAGTAATTCACAATGTGTTAGTTTCTGGCACACACTTTGACACCACTAAACCACCTACATGTTATTTCTCTGTTCTCATACTTGATAAGCTCCATTCTGAGGGCATGCTGTGTGAATTTCTTTACTTGGGTTAATAAGGGGTGTGGGATTACTTTTGGCAGGGTAATGCGTTCAATTATATATGTATATATATGGACAAGTAGAAGTAATATTTACATAAGCCTTTATAGAATAGACAATATACAGTCTATATAATTACAACATTAAAAAGCATTGCTCAACAAAATTACATGTTATGAGGTGAGCTGCATACAAAATACCTTTCTTTCCTCCTTCCTATGCGACCTCTACATTTTCCGTAAGCTTATATAATAAGTAACATACATTCAATACAAACAATAGCCTTCCCTGGCAACTAGTATGAATAAATTTTAATTATATTCCTCGGAATAACGTTTCTGTACGATTCTCTTATAAAATACAAGTAACGTGGCACTATGATTCGTGTTACAGGTCGTACTTTACCTGTGCCGGTGCCGTGTAAAGTGTGTGGAGATAAGTCCTACGGAAAACATTATGGAGTGTACTGTTGTGACGGCTGCAGTTGTTTCTTTAAGAGAAGCATACGTCGTGGGATCGTATATACTTGTATTGGTAAGTGTTGGATTTGTCATGTACAAGTGTATTTTGTTGCATTAGATTATAATATAGTATAAACCTACATAATTAAATAGTAGTATTGTATTGAAGTAACAATGCGTATCTGCATAGTTTAGAAGTAGTATTGTATTGAAGTAACAATGCGTATCTGCATAGTTTAGAAGTAGTATTGTATTGAAATAACAATGCGTATCTGCATAGTTAAGAAGTAGTATTGTATTGAAGTAACCATGCGTATCTGCATAGTTAAGAAGTAGTATTGTATTGAAGTAACAATGCGTATCTGCATAGTTAAGAAGTAGTATTGTATTGAAGTAACAATGCGTATCTGCGTAGTTTAGAAGTAGTATTGTATTGAAGTAACCATGCGTATCTGCATAGTTTAGAAGTAGTATTGTATTGAAATAATAATGCGTATCTGCATAGTTAAGTAGTAGTATTGTATTGAAGTAACCATGCGTATCTGCATAGTTAAGAAGTAGTATTGTATTGAAGTAGCAATGCGTATCTGCATAGTTAAGAAGTAGTATTGTATTGAAGTAGCAATGCGTATCTGCATAGTTAAGAAGTAGTATTGTATTGAAGTAGCAATGCGTATCTGTATAGTTAAGAAGTAGTATTGTATTGAAGTAGCAATGCGTATCTGTATAGTTAAGAAGTAGTATTGTATTGAAGTAGCAATGCGTATCTGCATAGTTAAGAAGTAGTGTTGTATTGGAGTAACAATGCGTATCTGCATAGTTAAGAAGTAGTGTTGTATTGAAGTAACAATGCGTATCTCATAGTTAAGAAGTAGTGTTGTATTGAAGTAACAATGCGTATCTACAGGCAGGTGTGAATAGTTCAGATAAACACAGTAGATACGCGTCTCTGTTTTTACGGTTTTCCTTTTGTTTCGGCACGTGTTGGTAAGCTGGAGTACTTACTTTGTTAATCTGTATAGATAAGTGATAGTGTAACGAGGTATACCGGTTATACGTGTATAGATAATTTTCGTTGTGTTGAACTTTACAGATAAGTGGTGGTGTAATGAAACTGTCTATAGGTAAGTAAGTGCCTGTGCGTGTTGTTACATACGTGTAAAGGGAAGTTCCAGTATGACAAAGTATTGTACGAACTTGTACAGATAGATGGTGCTGTAATGAAGTGTAACATACTGTACAGTATATAAAATGTCAGCATGTTGAAATATTCTATAAAGCTGTGCAGGTAGGATCCCATACAAGATTGAGTACTGCATAAACATGTATAGGAATAAGTGTTGTATAAACTTGTATAAATAAGCGAAACTTTATTAAAGTAGCATATACTTGTATTTTTAACATGGAGCATTAAATAAAAATGGATATAAAGACAAGACATTGCATTGACGTACATGTATATGTGTGTATGTAAGTACAGATAAGCTGGAATATTGTATAGCGTTTCGTACGTCACACTTTTTTAAAGAAACTTGATGATTTTCAAGTCACAAAATCGCAAGTAAATTTCAAACTGTCTTTCCGAGCAAATAAGTATGAATAAATGTGTCTATATAAACACCAAACCAAGCTATTTCTCACAACTTTATATCCTTATAAAGTTTCGTTGACGTACACTAAACATCACAGCAGGTTATTTTCCACAACTTTATATCCTTATAAAGTTTCGTTGACGTACACTAAACACCACAACAGGTTATTTCCCACAACTGTATATCCTTATAAATTTCGTTGACGTACACTAAACACCACAACAAGCTATTTCCCACAACTTTATATCCTTATAAAGTTTCGTTGACGTACACTAAACACCACAACAAGCTATTTTCCACAACTTTATATCCTTATAGTGTTTCATTAAAGAACAATTTATATTATCGACTTAGCTAGGCTGATTATTGCTAATGTCATTCGTGATTGTACTTGCCCCTCCCCCACCAGTGTGCACAGTGGTATGTCTTCTGACTTACAACACTAGAAACGGGTTTCGATACCCGTGGTGGGAAGAGTACAGATAGCCCATTGTGTAGCTTTGTGCTTAATTACAAACAAACTGTAGTTCTCTGCTGTCTTTGTACCGGATTTATTGTATTAAAGTTTCCTAACCTTGTTTATTCACTGTACATAGTTTATTACCTAATGTGAATTTATTTGTTTTCATAGCACAAGATTCTTTGGGTTTTCTTACGGAAACTGTATAGAGAGGTTTTCTCTACTGGTTATACACTTGAATAGCTAAAATCGTTTTATAGAAATGTATACATCTGTAGCATAAAGAAATGATTATACAAAAACTGCATAAACTTGTGTCGATTAGTTAGACTTTTAGGGTTACATAAAGGACTGTTAAAGGATTTCGAGTTAAAAAGGGAACTACTAATAATGTTAAGTTAGTAAAAAATATCACCATTAATTATACAAAGTAAAAAAGACATCTAAGTTTCTTCCCTTCCATCGCTCCAAAAAATACAGTATGATTTTTACGTAATAAAATGTTTCACACTTTGCATTATTACTGGTGTCACTTTTATCAGTTCCATTGATACCGGTACCATTTTTCCTATTTTACATTGTTAGTTGTGCCATTATTTCCGGATACCGTATTAAAGTACAGTGTACACTTTTATACGTAAGTGTTGACAAATTGGAGTGTTTAAAAATGGATGAGTCCGTTATATTAAAATGATTTTGAATATTTAAATCGGCAAGCCATATGACAGCCACTGCCGATATAAAGATGCGGTAGGATGGATGTATCAGAACTACATCTTAACATTGTTTCGCGCACTTTCTGTGCAGTGTATTGGCTCTAACAATTGATTACTTCGGGGAAAGGCACGTAACAGCCATTTCCGACGCAAAATATTCATACACTCAGATCATGAAAAAAGTTTCAGATTTAAAAATTTCCAGAAGAGGATATCTTAGGTACTAAATGGAATTCGAAAACAAATGAATATGAATCAGCTTGGGGATATCCAGAAAAAAAGATCTGCAACAAGTCGTATCTCAGCCGTGATTAGCAATCTGTGGCGTCTTGTATCAGGTATGAACTCAAAGGTCAGTGGGAAAGGCCATTCACGTGTCCGACAGTAGTACGCAACATAACCAAAAATTATGTCCGTCTGGAAAAGCGACACAAATAACATGTATACAAGTTGCTTCCACGACATATCCGTTCAACCGTCGTCATATATTACTAGGGAACCTTTTCCAATAGAGACTATGCTGAAAGACTATTATCAGAACGGACGTAGATCAGATAGAGCATGACTGGACATTGCGACATGGACTACAATGACGTAATGGAGCTCAAAAATCGTATCTATATGTGTAGTTTCGCTCTATGTCTAAGTTCTATATTTAAGTGATTTTCTGTCCTTGTTTGATATATTCGTCTGTTCTTCTGCAGTACTAACAGTGAGAGATTAAGTCCCCTGGTTCAGGAATTATAGACCTGTTTGTTTTAAGCTTAGAATGTGCTGTTAATTGTGATTAAATTTAACTGACCAAACAACCGACGGAAGACTTTGTATATAAAAACATACAGAGTGGGAAATGGCTTGTTTGTTATTTTTGTAAAGTTAAGAATTTTCACTGCCTTTATTTTGTTATTTAATGTTCAACACTACATTAATTTTTCATCGCAACCTTCAGTTCATTCTTGTTTTCATCTGTTACTTATCTCGCAACTAAATCCTTCGACCTTCTGGTTACCGTTACTTTAATTTACCCATGTGCACTTTCACTAACCACGAATACCATGAGGGTTGCAAAGTATTGCACACCTCTTCTCAGCTAAATAGTTCTGTAATAAAATATCCTTTAAACTTATGAAGAATATTGTTATTAAGTAGAAGTATTTCATTGTGTAGAAAGTATTGTTAAACATAAATAATCTATAAATATTAATAATTAGTATAAGTGTATAGTATAGTATAGTATAGTATAGTGTAGTCCAGTACAGTATAGTAGAGTAGAGTACAGAATGGTCCAGTAGAGTATTGTATAATACAGTACAGTATGATAAAGTATAGTTTAGTATAATATAGTAGAGTATAGAATAGTCCAGTAGAGTATTGTATAATACAGTACAGTATGATAAAGCATAGTTTAGTATAGTATAGTAGAGTATAGAATAGTCCAGTAGAGTATTGTATAATACAGTACAGTATGATAAAGTATAGTTTAGTATAATATAGTAGAGTATAGAATAGTCCAGTAGAGTATTGTATAATACAGTACAGTATGATAAAGTATAGTTTAGTATAATATAGTAGAGTATAGAATAGTCCAGTAGAGTATTGTATAATACAGTACAGTATGATAAAGTATAGTTTAGTATAGTATAGAACTTTACAGATAGTTGACGCTGTTTTGAATTATTACTTTATATATTTTTGTACATAAGTTTTAGTCGAGAATAGCATTATAAGCAAACAGTATAGTTAAATAATGCCATATTTAAGTACAGACAACTCACCTATCTATGTATATGTGTATAAATAACGTCGATAAGTTGGAGTATTATATAAACTTGTATAGATAAATGCCACTCTGTAATGCACTTTATTATATTGACAACTATGTATGCTGTATAGGTATGTAAGTATTGGTATACTGAAGATTTGTACGGTTACGTTGCATGAACCTTTATAGACAAATGCTAGTGAATATAATTTTCGCAAACTTTCTACTTATTAGTGAATGTAAGTAATAGCTATTTTACCAGATCTCGTCGTATACATCTTGATGGGTGATTCTCTTTATAAATTCCCCAAAAGGGGGGGGGGCGAAGGACGCCTGGAGGGGTAACCTGTTTTAACCACTCACACCAGTATACAGTAGTGAGTTGTCTGTTTGTCAATCAGTAGACACTAAAATGACGTCATATAAGAGACGCTTAACGTTGCAATTTGTAGTGTCATGACGTCAGTAAAAGGTGCGCATGCCATGAATCACGGGAAGAATTATGCATTCTGTAGGCTACAACACAACATGACATATGAACAT